AAAAAAGAAAATTCAAACTTTATAGTGATCTGTCCTGTGATAAGTTCACATTAACAGAATGATAAGCTATTTAATTTCGCCACCAAACTAATTAATTGTTAAACTAGCGAAATATGAGACGAAAAGCTGCTACTATACAATGCTATTTAAATGATAAATGAAAACGAACACTTCGAAAAGTATTCTAAACAAAAGAGAAAACGATCACTTCAAAATGAACATATCGCTTCAAATTTTAAATCTCTAAACAAACTTTATTTTTTAACTTTCCCTTCTATCTTGACTTTCTTTGTGGTACCTGAAAGTATCTTAACTGACTTCATAAGAAAAAAAAAAAACTAAAACTGGCCACAAACTCGATACTTCCTTTACTTGTCAAAGAATTTTACTCATATATAAAGTATGTGGAACTTATTTCTAATTAAAACGTAATCAGACACTATCCATTTCATTTTGTAATTATTAAATCAATTCAGAAATAATATTTGAAGATACTGAAATGTCACAAATGTGTTTGACGAGTTGAAAGAGAGATTTGATACCTGAAACATCTCCTGATACCTTGAAATTGGATCTATTTGTGAGAGATATGATGATAATTATTCCTCATTAACAGTATATTTTTCTTATACATAGTGAAATTTGTAAAATGAAGTCTGATATGCGTCTGTCACAATCCTATCACATTTCATAGATACTATAGATGACTTTTGTTGATATGCATTTCTGATATCAGTCAGAATTTTTTTTTTTTCCTTCTGAGAACTATCAAACTATTGAAAAGCAAAAATATCAAAAAGCAAAAAATAATTAATTACAAACTTCCTGAATTATACAATAATTAATATTTTTCCCTCTTAAAAGAAAAAAAAATAATAAAAGCAAAAGTACAAATAACAAACACATTTTTTTTTTAAATAATATAATTCAAAACAACAAAAATCCACAAAAGTTAAAAACAACAAAAAGAAAAAGTATTGAAATAGAATTAGTTTAAAAGAAGAAATTCCCAAAATAACAAATAAACAAGAAATAAATTGAGAAAAAAAAAGAAAAATAGTATTTCATTTCCAGTATTATTCATAATATTTCTGTTACGAATAAATTTTGGAAGGAAAAAATTTAGAAAAAAGACAATTCTATTCTTTATGCTATTTACAGATTCATTAATTTTTTTGAAATAAATTAAGACTATAATGTAATTAAAAAGAAGAGAAAAAATAACAAAAGGAATGCTAACTTTTTTTTTTGTATTTCATAATTAAATTTTAATTCAATTCAATAAATGATAAGTTCCAGAATGAAAAATATTGATAAAAGCATTTAAAAAGTTCGGATACGAGAATTATCGAATATTCAGTTGTATATGAGAAATACAATGGTTCATGTTATCATCAATCAATTGTTTTATCACAGTAATCTGTGATACAAATAAATCTGATTATTCGTGCTAAGAAATACTGATTCATCAAACTCTAACTTTATCTATCCATTAAATTAGCTTTTATCACTAACATCTACTGATAATCTTCTTCCTCCTCTGCCATATTTCATTTCGGTCTATTCCATCTCTCGAAACTAATAATAGTTTTTAAAATGTATTCAATATGTTACTGCTTAATTACTTAATAAAATTTTGTTTTTTTTTTGTATTTTTCAGATAAGTTAAGAAATTTGCCGTTTTTCATTTACATTACATTCTTTTCCGATTTCTTGTTCAACCATTACTGCTAAGATTTACTGTGGAAAATGAACCCAAATAAGTAAATTGCCTATTGTTTATAAGCATAACCAAATAGTTTCAATTCTCGAATCGTTCTCGAATTTTTTATTTTCCTACACTCAAATTTTGATTTTAACTAAATGTTAAAAGCTTAAAATATTAGTATCGTACAGATTATTTAGTCATTAATTAGCAAAAATCATTCCAGATATTTGATGCAGATATGTGTCACCTTAGAGTACCATTGTGAATTATTTGCGCTTATGCGGTAAATGATAAAAGAATGATGATAAGATAGTTGGGAACAAACAAATCAATCTCTCCTTCATTTTCCTTCACATTTTGTCCGATGACATTTCACTGTCTAAAAATTGCGCCATCCAGACTTTAACATTTTTAAATTTAATTAATTATTTATTAGTTTGCCATTTAATCACTGGTACTTTTTTGCTCATATGTCTAACTTCCGATTCATCTTGTTATATTTGAAAGAGAGCAAAACCGGAACATATCTTCTCTTAAAATAGATATTATTATTATTATTCTACGGTGACCAATAAAATTCAGCCAATTCATTTCTGATTTTAATTAAAATTAAAAAAAAACGAAAAAGAAATAGATTCAATCTGTACAATTCATATTAACCCTTTGACATATGTCATTGACAGATGAAATAAGCTATCATTGCAATTGTATTTGACAAAAGTATTCGATAAATGATAAATGTTTTCGTCCTTTCTTACATTAAACATTTCCAATTACTCATTAATCAAATAAGATATGAAAAAAAAAAATGAAATTCATTTCTTTCTATGAAACGGAAAGTACAGAATGGAAGTGAAAAATTTTATTTAATATCAAATTGAGGAGAAGATGGAATGAACAAACTAACATAACTCATCCTTACAATTTTATTTTTTAATTAATTGATTAAAATATGTGAAATTTGTTAATCAAGATATGTTAATTATTCATTCCATTATAATAGTTACTCTGTTTAGATCATAACAATTATATTGTAATTGGAAAATGAACTTGAAGTCACGAATAAATCAAAATTAATATGAAAATATCCATGTATCAACAAATCAATTAATCGATCAATCAATTAATCGATCAACCAATCAATCAGTCCTTCATATCATTTTTTTTTTTATCAGGTCATTGTAGAAAACCATGAAATTTCATTAAAAATTGATGACTAATTAGAGAAATTGATAACATGATGTATTCATTAAAGAATCGCTTCAAATTATCAAAAACTAAAATTGCTTGGGGTTGACAAATGACAGTAAGCAGAAATGTGCTAGTAATATCTGTCAGAAAATTGGAATCAAACGAAAGTTACCATTGATTCAATTACAAGAATTTCAACATTAATATTTCATAATCAATATTAAGTTTTAGCATTTAATCAATTCTCATTGGATATGTTATAGCAATAAAGCAGTAATAAATTCGTTGAAAGTAGCAATACAAGAAGTATCAATAGATATTAGCAGTTTGTTTTGAATTTAATTTCAAAACAAAAAAACATTTTATCAATTGAAAATAGCTGTCTAGCGATAATAATGATAATAATAATATCTTATCGATTTTTTGAAAATATAAAAATTTAAATAAAAATATGAAAAATTTGAATTTTCTCCATTTCTCTAATTAATGTAAAAGAAATCAGAATTCTCAATTGATAACATTCCATAAGATAGAAGATTAAAGAAGACGATATAAAAGAGTATTTAAAATTCAAACTTATTACAACTTCCAATGATAGAGAAATGCTAAATGAAAAGCAAACAAAAGCGCCTCTCCGATATTTTAACAAATCTGAGGAGTTGAATCAACTGTTGAATCGAAAAAATTTCAAATCAAACACCAACACCATCAACATTCTTGTCATTTCTGTCAACATAAAATAGGTGAAAGCCTGTCAAAAAACAATCATTGTCCGAATCCAAATCTTAAAAAAACTCTGATCACCAACTTCTTAATTTTAAACTTTGATCCTGTTCAAGTAATTGTTTTAGTTTTATCTCTTTCATTTATTTGCAATCAAAAGATTTCCCAGGAATTCGATGAATGTCCCAATATCATCCATATATCACAATTCATATGAGACTAGTCGATAATGATGACAACACCATATCTGAGAGAGATCAAAAAAGGCTCACTTATGTTACCAATCAAATACTGTTAATAAAACTAATGTTGCATTAGCGGGAGGTACCGGTATATTCAACAAGTAAATGACAAAAGTGATTGTCACCATTTGTCACCAAGATGTACGGGTTTCAATATTGTTGCTTCCATTTCTAATGACCTATCAAAATGACCTAAAAAAAAAAAATGTTGTCTTAATCACTGATAGTATTCTGATTAAAGCAATGGTAGAAGTAAAATGATAAGTTTATTTTAGCATTGCATTCATTCATTCATTCATTTTAATGTAACTTACAAAACGTTTACTTTTTTTTTTTAATAAATTATTATAATCAAATAATACATCAATAACACAAGAATAAAGTGCAGAAGGAATTATTGTCATTTAACCTTTGCAAATAGCGCGGTGTCTTTGATCTATCTGTTCAAAAAAAAAAAAAAGAAATCACTGATAATGACAGAACAGGTGTTTATTGTTAGAGATCAATCAGTATGTAAATGTATTCAATAGTTCTTAAAATTTCAAAACATAACAAATGTCTTCTAAATGGATGCGACATTTGCCAATGATACGACAATTTGTCTTGATACAGTAACATCTAAAAAGGTAGTGTCATAACACATACAAAAATACATTTTCCTGAATAATAATTGCGCTTATTCAATCGATTCCAGAATTCAGGAATGATTGAAATTTGCAAAAAAAAACATGACAGATAGAAATAATAGTTAAATGCTTCTTCCGGATTTGATAAATTGCTGATAGGTAGAATTCTTATCAGTTCATTTGATAGATCCTAAAATAAAGGAATTTTATTTTTTACAATAATTCTTTTCAATTTTATCAAAGATTTTTAATTCAAAATTAATTTTTTAATAGTTATATGAAGTATAAAATAAAAAGTTTTGAAGTGACAATTTTTTTTTTTTGAAAAGATTAAAAGATTTAAAATTATGGAAGTAATAAGTAACCATTTCTAGAGATTGATTCTCATTTTATTGATTATCATCACTAATCATCCATTCTAGTCACTTGTGAATCATCCTTTCCAAATGGGACATTTGCAGTTATAATACTTTCAGAGAATTGCAACTTTAATGATTCTTGTTTTCTGTGTTTCCTTTTCTTTAGTTGTTTCGTAATTGGCGATCCTTCTCTACTACTATTACTATTACTACTATCGTTCGTGTCCAAATTTGAATTTATTTCAGACTGAAACAATGTAATGATAATGAATGATAACGACAATTTGATAAAATTCAAATATCCATAGTTAGTGATAAATTAAATAGTGTACATAGCCATCTTTGTATTCGAATATCTATTTGACAATATTTTATTCTATACTTAATTACTATATGTTTAAGTAAATAGCTATCAACTTATCTTAAATTTCATTTACTTCTTTTAACTCTCTTTTATTTCGTTTCATATAAAGGGTCAACTTATTGCCAAAACAGTTAGTGATGTGACATGTCAACAAATGATCAAAAATTAGAGGAAATTTGTACTTATGATGAGCTAATTTTTCAAATTTAAAAAATTTTCAAATTGAATTGATAGAAAAATGCATTGAAATATATTATTAACCTGAGCCATAGAGATCAGAGCTGATGTTGTTGGATCATGATGATCTTTGATCGAACATTTTTGTATCCTCAATAATGTGTCATTTTCAGATTTGTTTAAAGTTATACCTATGGAACTGCCATTTCGAAGTACATTTGTTCGACTACCATGCCGTAAATTTACAGTACTTGTGTATTGTAGCTTAAGCCTACCGTAATGAGTCTTCAAGACATTTTGGACCTAAAATAGATTTGAATAAACAACAATTTCATTTTGAGTAAAATATTCGCTCTTGATCAGTGATAATTTACATTTACAATAAGTATCAATGGTTAATCATTTTATTTATGATAAGATAAGCAGAGATAATGAAATTTGATTGAAAATTTTACCAAACTGAAAAAATTTCATGAAAAATGTTTTAGAATTAGAATTAAAGGAGAATATTGACTAATTTAAAATTAATAATTTCAATTAAAAGTATACTTCTTTATTAGTAAAGCAATAGATGATTGAAATCATGAAGCCCTGATACATGTAAGTGAATGATGCGCAATATGTCCAAATTGCAAAATACTAAAATAAAAATCACTTATTATTTAATTCTCAAAAATTTCACAAAATTATGCAGTTTGCATAATTAAGCATGAATATGAATATTAGCATTGATCCTATTAATTAACTATATATCTCATACATCCAGTCATTGTACCATAATAATTAGCTAAAGAAAGACAAATATCAAACTAAGTTTAGAATTTAAAGATAACATTTATTGCTTTTTTTTTACATTTGCATCCATTCATTCGTTAAAATTCAATTTTTACACTTTTCCATTTCAAAAGGAACACAATTTTGAATTTTCACTTCAAAATGATATTTAGCAATAATAATTTCATTTCCAAACTTCTTCTAAAATGCTTAACATTTTAACAATAAACAAATTTCAAACTCTTTTCTTAAATTATTCCTAACTTATCGAAGTCATTTGATATGAAAAAAGTTAAAAATTACCATTAACTTACCACAATATTATTCTTAGTTGGTGAAAAAGGTATAGTTTGCATAATATTTGGAATACCTAATAGTGGAATTAGCATCAATGCTGCTTTGACACTTTTCCTAAAAAAAATCAATAAGCTAAAAGAAATAACTCAATTGATTGTAATATTTTGAATTAAATTAAAAATATTATAATAGTAGTAAAATTTTTAAAGAGAACAAGCAATAAGAATCATAAATTAATAGATCAATCGATTTTTTTCTAAGCTAATAGATTGATCGGCCTTTTTTTTTTTTTTTTTTTGAGTTAATAAATCAATCATTTCTTTTTTCAAACATGAAATAATGTTAGAAAACATAATCTATATCAATTTCTTATTTTGAAATTTAAATTATCATCAATGAATGACTTACTTCATCCTATCCAATTCACTTGTATTATGTGATTGGCTTACTTTTGTCCATAGGACACGAATGACATTACATATGAAAAATAAATTTACCTAAAATAAAAATTTCTCTTTAAATAATACAATATCTTTCTTTTTGTTGAAAAAAAATACCATTTCATATAGAATGTCATATTTATTTTGTGTTAAAAATTTGTTTAATTCAAAAAAGTTATCCTAAATTTTACAAAAAAAAAAAAAACTTACAACTAATTCAAACATTCTTGGTCCATCTAAGAGCCAAAATTCCGGTTCGAGGTAATATGATCCCAGGCATCGATCCACTTTTCCTTGTTTCTTCATCAGTATTACTGTTAACCATAAAAATGTTTGCGCCAATGGAAAACCTATTAAATTTCGAATAACTAAATAAATTTTAGACAAAAATTTAGAAATTTAAAATTTTCAAAATTCACTAAATATGTATATGTTAAAATAAAAGGTTAACTGACTACCGTATTCTCTCTATTATAGCTTAGAATATAAAATGTTACCGTATCCAGCTATAAGATAATGCCTAAGACGTAATTCATCTGCAAATACTGTGAAAACAAGTTTATTATGCAAATAGAATCCTTCAAGAAACATCCAACAAAATGCGACAGTTTTGAAGTATTCAAGCATGAAAAACATTGCTTCGCACAGAAATACCTGTTAATTTGGTTGATTAATGAATGACATCAACATCTAATGAATGACAGCATCAGAAGGAGAGTAAAAACAATTTCGTTTTGTAGCTTAATATTTTAATAAATTATGAGATCTAGGTAATACTATGAAAGTATACGATATTTGAGTATACGATATTAAGAAATAATCTACGATATTTGACTTACTTAAGAAATAATCTACGATATTTGACTTAAGAAATAATCTACAATATTTGACTTTTAAAAAAAAAAAAGAAAAAGAATTTCTCTTACAAATACGCCAAATTAATACTAAATAAATTTGATAATACTTGTATGAGAAAATAGAATTAACTTTTCTTCCTGTTTTAATTTTAATTAAAATAAATTAAAAAAAATACCATAGTATTGATAGTTTTTCCATCATTACTATCCAAATTATGTGGTCCAAGACGATCGGTAAAAATAAGATCAATGTAGAGGATAAGGCGAATAATAACAACCATCAATATGGCAATCATTAATTGTAAGTGTAATAAATTCCTAAATACCCGCAGCCTCCTAAAACGAAAAAAAAAAATCTTATCTTGATTAAAAATAAAGTAAATTCAATCATTTTACAAAATTGAAACAGACAATTTGTATAGGATAATATTATGTAATAATTTTACATACACTAATTAATTAATAATATTAATTTATTAAATTAATAAAATTAATAAAAGTAAAAGAACCTGAAGTAAGAAAAAATAGCGATTGATATGAGCAAAGAAATGAGCGATAAGCCAAGACCAACAAATTCTAATTTACGGGCATTTCTTGCTACTTCTTGAGCTATCTGAAAGAAAATTAATTGTATTAAAAAAAAAAAGTGTTGAAATTATTTTAATAAAAAAATTTTTTTTTTACAAAAATTTTGAAAAAACTTTACAACAAGAGATCCGTTGGTGAGCTTAGTCATCATTTCAATAACTTCTCGGGTAAAACACATCGTAAAATTTGTCCAGCCATGAGGACGTGAGAAGTCACCCTCTGCTCGACCCATCCAACGACCCGAACTATGACAATATTTGGTAATATTCTCTAAAATTATTTATTTACGTATAATTCATTAATATCATAATAATAAAAAAAAAAAAAACAGATCCTTATTTCTTAGAAAAAGAAAAAAATTCAAGAAAAAACGAACTTCCAGGATCAAGTCCTTTAAGTGGTGGACAACGTACAGTAATACTACTATTAGCTGGTGTTGCTGGCCAACAGAGTACTGTATCGAAGGTCGCATTACACCATAATGATCCATTATCTATTAATATAAATTATAATTTATATTCAAATATTCGTCCTAGATAGGATGATAATTATTAATAGTATATTTTTAAATAAAATTAAAATTTTCATAATTAAAATTCCTTACTATTATCTGGAAATGTTGGTAAAGAGCTTCGTTCAAGCGCTTCTATACATTCATCCATTGTTTTAGCTCGATTATACTCAAGACCATCTATTTGAACTAATTTACCAACATTATATGCCCATGATGTGGACGGTTGCATTACTGCAACCTTCGACAAATTGTCCATAATCATTCCACAAATCCTGTAAAATAAATTTTAAATGATTTATACAAATGATAAAAGATAAAAAGTTGAAGGATTGAATTTGAAATATTTTTTGATGATGGTAAAATTGAAGGATTAAATTCTGAAAGGACTTTTTGACGATGGCCAAATTGGGAAGGAATATTCGTCAATTCTTATAATATATTATTTGTTCTATAATTTGATTGATTTTTTTTGGAAAAAAAAAATATTAAATGGATTACATACGTCAAGCTATTTGATGATTAATTTAAAAAGCTTTTAAGATAACACAAATTCCTAATTAGCCATCTAACAAATTGCGTATACATTTTTAGAAAGTGAAAAATTATCATAATGCATTATGATGACATACGTCAACTATGTCATTAAAAAGATTTATTAGTTTCATTCATATTATCTAAGTGCGAAGTTTTATATTTTTAATTTTGATTAAAACACTCATTACTTAAAAGATAGCAATTAATTAATAGAGAGTAAACAGAACGAAATTAATTTGGCCACAGTATAAAGCATAAAAATAATATCCAGCATTGATTCAGTGAATTTTAAATAGGAATTCAAAATATGTTAATCAATTATTAAGCCTGTTTATTTGCTAATTAAATATGAATTTTATTGATTTTAAAAGTTTTATTTTTATTACTTAGTATTTCAAATCTATTAAATGTTTTATTTGTTGCAAACAAATGAAAAATATATTTATAAATGCTTGCCTATCAAATGATCAGCACTGATTTTGCATTTATTTTAAAATATTTTTATAAAAATTTATGGTATTTTTATGAAATGACTTCTCTTATAGTAATTTAAATATTTGAAAAATTCACTATTTTAAGTAATTTTAGAATTATGAAAAAGGGAAAGGAACGATTTTAGCACAATTTTGCAAAAATGTCAATAAATTTTCTCGCCAAAGAGCAGAAAATTTCATACAATGTAATTATGCAAAGGAAGCAAAAATGACAAATAAAATTAATCTTTTTTTTATTTGGAAAAAAAGGACAAAACTTGCCTTTTGCAAATTTTTGGACAAAAAAAATAAAAAAACTAGAGAAAAGC